TGTGGGTGTGTGTGTGTGTATTTCTGTGAGTGCAAGCTATCTAATCTCCTGGCAGATCCAGTGGAAGTCCATCTGAACAAGGTGAACAGGAGGTGGAATACATCTAGCTGCCAAGGTGTCTTTTTAAATGCCAGAACAACATGAGGACAAAAAACAAACTCACTACTACAGTACTACTACTCACTGCTTATCCCTCTTAACGTGGATGCAGTGTTCATATTCTGAAGAAGACGTTTATTCTTACTCAACTACATGGTTTCAGATACTGGTACAAGAACAATAATACCAATCTTTGGCTTTTTGACTTTCAGACTTTTTTGACTTTGATGTCAACTTTGGCTCTAGGTAGTGGTGATGGGCATTTTTTACTATTTATAGATTTTCTACAGACTAAACAACTCATCAGTTCACCAAAAAACACCCAAATCTTATTCAATAATGAACATAATCATCAATATGATCAAAGATCTGACAGCAGTGCACCTGTGCATCACTGTGTCTTTGCAAACACAGAATAATGTATATTGTTCATATATTCTGCATATTGAAATATGCATAAAAATACAAAATATATGCTGTGAATCTGTGTGTGTTGACTCTTTACTCACCTATCTGCAGCAACACCGGTGTCACCAGTGCCGTCTCCATGGCGTAGCAGAACTCCCGGCCGAACATCACCGCCCCATGCATCACCCATCTCTTCACGGAGATGCCTTCGATCGATCCCTCGCTCGCCAATTCCTCGCCTGCTCGGCCTCCTCCTGCCGCTCCTCCATTTCCCGTTCCATCCGTCTCGCCTGCTGCTCCTCCTTTCTCCTCATCCGTGCCTGATGTCGTGGAGTTTTTGGCGTTAACCCCACCCACCACAGATCCGACCTGCATGGCGTCAGCCTCTGTGTTCTGGGGAGGCATGGCGGAGGGCATGCACGCGATGAGAAATCAAGCGCAGCCCCTTTAACACCCTGACTGATCTGAGAACAATTTACCTGGGAGATTAAAACAACAACTTCCCTGCTTCCACAAAACTATTTGTATCAAGTTAATTGTAGTTACTTTAAAACGACTTGTGACTTCATGGAAGAAACTTAATCAGAATCTCTACAAACTACAAACTGCAACCGTTACTGGTAGTAACTTGCTGGCTTGCTTATATAGTAGTTACATCTATTTACTGCTTTAAAAGAATAATCAGCAGTTAAGGGTGTTAAGACAAAAAAATACTAATAGTGTCCTAGCATGTAAGGTAATATAATCTAATCCAAAACTGCTCAAATGAAAAAGACTATGGACACTAAATAAATGAGCAAAAACAATCAGCAATCAGTTGTCCTCTAAACAAGTTGTCCTCCAAAAACACTGCAGCTTCAAATTTAATACGCTTTAACCCTCCTTCGATTCCCCCCAGAGTCAAAAATCAGTTTTCCAAAGGCTTGTAGAAAATCCCGAAAAACGGAAGCAGTTGAATTTTCACAGGAAGAGTGAGCGGTACATTCCAAGAGGGAGTTTGTGCATTAGCTTCTTTCTGTGCGTGTGTCAGGTGTGTTTGTGTATATGTTTGGTGGTGGTGGCTGTTGTAGTGTTACTGTGTGTTTGTGTTGTGTTTGGGTGTGTGTGTGTGGTGGTGTGTGCTGTTTTTCTATGTTTATGGCTTTTTTGTTCATTGAGGTTTTTCTTCCCTCTTTCTTACTGTTATTACAAGCTGTAAAATCATACTTAGAAAGGACCATTCGCGTGGGGAAGTTCCAGAGTCATTCTTGTGTGGTAGAGGGGCCTGGGGACTGGACGTGTTATGGTGGGGCGAATGAAGAGGTCGGGAGGGGGAGAGAGGAGGAGGAGGGCAGGTGGCGAAGGTTCACTGGATTTCTCCTCTGAACAATCCCCATCGATTGGCTGATCAGTCTGTAGGAAAAAAAAAAAAAACAGCAGGTGTGGTGGGGGGAAGCACGGAGCCACGACACAGCCGTCCCATTGGTCAGGAGGAGAGGTGAGCGTGGAGGAGAGGAAGAGAAAAAAAAACACCAGTTAGAAACAGCAACTTAACTTTCAAACATGTGTTGTTTGAAAGTAATACTGCGTTTTTCCTGTCATGCCAAGAGCTCAGGTGTGTGTCAACGTGAACAAACGAGGTGGAAGCAGAGCAACATGTTATTTAACATGCATCAACTGACACAAGAAAAAGAAAATAAGAAGTAGCCAAGGTACAGCAGCCAAGGATGTGATTGCTGCTTTTCTGAAGAGTTGATACACGTAGATGCTAGAAAAAGGACAACTGACAATTGGGCTTCTATTGGGCAAACAATGTCTGTGGGTGTTGCTTGAGGAAGACTGCCAAGCTTGGAATATGCTGCCATCCAGTATAGCTGCCAGTCCAAGCCTTGTGTGTGTTTTTCATGCCATTACGTGTCTGTATTTATGGACATATTTAGCATACTGTATCGAATTCTCTCTCATTGTTTGTATTTTTTTATTACTAACACATTTAAAAAGCCTTTTTTTCCCCACAGTTTTTCATGGACGCTTGATTTCTGAACTCCACCTGTACAAAGACTAGTTTGCTGTGCCCGGGAGTCACTAGCAGCATCTTCATTGCATTTGTAAAAAAAAGTAATTTTTTGGCATAGTTTTTCCTTGCTTTTGTGTGTGAAAAGGATCATATTTCTCACCTCTTGCGATATCTCTCCATGCAGAGAGTTTTGGAATATTTGCCTCCACTGAGATACAATAGAGGTGAGTGGAATTATGTTTGCAGTGTTCAGTAAAAAGCTTTTTAAAACTTCAACAACAACTTTTCTTTTTCCAGAAACAGTGAACAGTTTTCATTAGAACTACTAAAACATTTGACATTAAGCTGCATGGAAAATCTATATAATTGGAGTCATTATTTCTGGATATAGTTGTTGCTTTTTAAAGCCTGCGACAACCACAAACAAAATTCAAGTCACATTTATTGTATTGGACTGGAGGCAGAAATGCAGACGTGAGGCTCGAGTCACATGACCTGGATTCAAACCAGACTTGAATCACAAATTTGATGATTTTGATGACAATCACGCAATACTTGCAACTCGCCTTTAACACCAATGACTCGTGACTTCATCTGGATTTGAGCATTCTGACTTGAAAACACTTGATACCTTCCCCCTAAACCAAAGAAGTATCAATTAATTACTTTCCCTTCATTTCCTGAATCAACTTACATTAATGGTAATTAATGGTTATTCATTCCCAGCAAGTCGACACTTAATTCCCCTGATCCACTTTGTTTGAACCAAACCAGCAGCATCCAATGACGTTGCAGGAGATAGCCTGTTGTGATAATGGCATTACATTGGGTGAAGAGCGCATTAGGACTTGTTTAGGACCTGGGATTTGACTTGGGACTTCACAGTCTTAAGTGCAAAGACTTGAGATTTAGTTGTGACTTG